AGAGCTGCACAATCTCCTTCCACCCCAGGGACTGAAAAACCTACCACTAGGCATGCTGTTTACAATTTCCTCCAGTTTCCAGTAGCACCACACTGGAAACTAGATGGTTAACACATGGTCCTTTGGTGGACACTTGAGATCCAAACCATAGTACCCTACGTACAGAAACATTTGGCAGAAAGAAAAGTCCCTTCTTATTTGGCAGCTAAGTGTCTTTTTTTCTCTCTCTGTATTCTTTGATGAATGATGGTACTAATAACCTTAACAAATATTGTAATTTTAAATAAATTCTCACAGGAACAAATGAAAGGCCAGTATCACTTAATTTTAGCTACATTTTAACACAAGCAGAAAAGAAGACTGGTTTTGTAATTCCTGGTTCCACCTTTAATAACACAAGTTTTAATACTTATCCAGAAACTAGTTTCCTCCTACTAAAATATCCAACATCTTTAAAAAAAAATTTTAAAAAGTCTTGCTGGATTTGGTGGCTTGTACTTATAATCCTAGCACTCTGGGAAGGGCAGGAACTTGCAGAAAGATTGCAAGTTCCAGGCCAGCCCAGGAAATTTAGTGATTAGCAAGACTTGAGAAATAAAAAGTTTTAAATGTGGCTTAGTATAAGGGCCCTGCATTCCATTCCAGTACTGCCAAGAAAAAAAAATCTGCCTGACATTGTAGTAGCCACGGTTGATTTCCTGTTGCCTTGAAATCCTATGTTTCTTTCTTTTTTTTTTTTTTGGTACCGGGGATTGAACTCATGACTTTGCGTTTGCCAAGCAGGCACTTACGCCACTGAGCTAACTCCTAGCCCCAATCCTGTGTTTCTTGCATTGTTTTTTTCTGATCTGCTTTGTTCTGTTTTGTTTTATTCTCTTTAAAACAAAAAAGTCTCAACAACGCCTAACCACCTTCATTGCAGATTTCTAGAGGAGATATTTGAGGTGGTTATCTGTTTTGACCCATAGATACTAACTTACTGAACTTGTGCTGTTGTTACGTGGTTTTACAAGTGTTACAGAGAGGAGAATTTTTGTTTATTTTTTAATCTTCTCAAAAAAGATTGTGAGGTTAAGTTCATGAGATACCTCTATTATCAACCAGCACTACTATTTAGAAGTTTCAGTATTTCCGTGATTAATTTTAACTACGTTCTTACGATGAATGATGATAATGTCCACATTTGTTGGGTCAAGAGAGAAAGCTCTAAGAAGCTGAAGAACTCTCTTAAATATCTAACAACTGAAAATCTGTTTTCCCTGGACTGGTGTTTTCTCCAATGCTTGTTTATCACATATGTACAAAAGAGACCTTTCCTTTGATTTCAAAGCACTGAAACAATAGAAATTATGTCAGATATCATGTTATACTTAACTTCTATTGCAAATTATGTAATTTTATAGAAGACTGTAGGAAAATATTTAAACATAGGATGTTTTATAGATTATTAGTAAATGATGCTAATTACACACATTACTATAAAGAATACTTTATTGCAATCCACTGCTGTCAATCTGAAATTAACCTTTACACAAAGGAAAGGGCAAGCCATTCAGTAGCTCTAATATATTTCTTATTGCAAACTCTTAGAACATAGAATTAAAATTATCCATGCAATAAAAAGCCAGAAACTCATGCATAACCATCTACTGAGTTTCCATTTGACCAAGCATAAACTAGATCAATTGCATTATTTAAGTTGGTTATATTTCTAAAATAAAATATATTCACTCAAGTGGAAAACTTCCCTCCCCAGAGAATGGATTATTAAGTGTCATCTTTTCCTCAGCAATGACAATGTGTCAACTTGAGTGAATCTCAGAAAATACAATGTTGAGTCAAAGAAGCTGTCAAACATTATAGTATAATATCACTTATGTCATGCTCAGAAACAAGCAAGCCATCTACAAATACAGTAAAAGCCAAATGAAAAAAGCAGATAATAGATTTTTTTAATATGTTTTTATTTTTACATACGTCAATTCATTTACCTATCTGGCAGCCATTTTACCAGTTCTAACCATCACAATAATAAAATAACTCAGTTTCCTACATATAGTATAGGAAACATTAATTTTCCAGTTCAGATTTATTTTAAAGCCTTACATCCGGAGGAACTAGAACTATCTTTCTAATCCAGGGTCTCCCCTCTACAGGAACCACTTGTGCTAGAACAGTTTCCCTGTGCTCGTCCATGACCTTGCTAAAGTGCTCTCAAGGGAACTGACTCTCAGAACTAATCCACATCCAAATTAGCCTCCCAGTTTTAGAGACAAAGCACACATTGATATATCCTTCAGGCCTGTTATGCTCTCTGAGGCAAAACCTTCCCTGCCTTGGTATCCTTGGGATTTATGACCCTCTCCACAGTAAGAAAAGTCTCTTTAAAACTTAAAAATAATGATACTAATAAGCGTTCTAAAGCTTTCAGTCACTTGGAAAATATCCTGAAGCTCTTCTCTGTCTGATTTTTGTATGTTTACCTATTAGCAATGGAACAGGTTCTAAGTCCAACCTGTCCTTCTCCTAAGAGTGAGAAGGGAAGAGTCAGTGATCTGAACATAGTATGTTTAGGACAAGAAAGGAACGAAGAGTAAATATTGTAGACAAAAGATGTTAATATAGAGTTGTCTTTTCTAAACTAAAGCTTAGTATTCAGTTTTAATTGTAGTGTTGGCACCTTGTGATAAAGGAGTGCAGTTTGGTGGTTGTCTCTAAAAAGTTCACCACCATTGTTCTAGGCTTTTTTTATTGCATGTAGAGTCCAAAGGTATAAGTAGCCATCACATATTGTTAAGAAAAGTGTTAGAAGAACAACATTTGGTGAGAGTCTTCTTAGAAGAAATAGCACACGTCAGAGGGGCAGAGACATTTCAGGCAGAGGAACTTCCTGTGCAAGAGCGCAGAAGGGTGGCACAGCCCAGTGTATGTTACGTTGGAGTGAGCGGTGCATTGGGGCTTGCTGTGAGTGATGAGGTTCTTACCAAACTGGGTTATGGAGTGTCAAACTTGTGTCCACAATTCAAATTTGGAGGGGAAGTGAGAAAAGTAGTTTGTTTGATGTGACGCCTGTGTTTCTGCCTTATGTGCTGGATGATGATCATGTCACCATCAAGCAATGACAGCAGTAGTCATACATTGAACTTGCATTGTATTTTCTAGCTTACAGAATGCTTTTACATATATCACCTCAACCATTCACTACTGTCCGTCACCTCCCAATGCTTTTATTGTGTGACTTTTGCTATTAGCCTGAGTGCCGTGGACCTAGAAAGCACTGACTATGTTCACTAGGCTTCCTTTTTAAAACTTATTACTCCTTTGATCTCTTTAATGCTTGATCCTCCATATTTTTCTTTTAGTTCTTCTTCTTCCTATTTTTACAGGTAGATATTCCTCATGAACTTTTATCACTTTCTAGCCCTCGAAGCCTTAAATTGTATTTGAAACTTTCCTTTATTCATACCTGATCATTTATTAGATTCTGTGTGTTATATTTTTAAAGCATCATTTACCTCTATTGCTTCCTTGTTACCACTATTCAAGTTTAGACTCTTATTGCCTCTTCCTTAAATCATGATACCTTTCACCTGTCTGTTTTCTTTAAGATCTGTTACTTCTCTTCCCAAACCACGTATCTATCATGTTTCTGCCCATGTGGTCTTTCTGATATATATATATATATCACACACACACACACACACACACACACACACACACACACACACTTTTTCTCTATTGCCTAAAAGCTTCACTGGGCCCAAATTACCAGTGAGACAGAGGTCATTTCCTTCTTGTGGAATTCAGAATCATAGGATCTAGACACAGTTTTATTAAACTTTCTTACTATTAGGTCCCGTCTTACACCCAACTTTGTACACAAATTGTCCCTGATGTTTATCCACTCCCTGTGACCTGCTTCCAGTCCTTTATCCTAAACTTTACACAACTCCCAGCTCCAACTATTCTACACACTACATAATTACTAAGGTCTTTTCCATGTGCTTGGCATTGTAGTAGTCTCTCCTTCTCCTTTGAACTTCTATAGCGTTTTTTATCTGTCTCTGGCCCTAATCACTCATTCTTTTCCCTCAAGAAACTGAACTCTTTTAGGTCACGAATTATTCCTGTAACTCTTTCAGCCTTCCTTATTTTGCATTATATGATTAATTTATGTAAAAGTAAATAATATGATCTTATAACAACTCATTCAAGTATTCAGAGTAAGTAACAGTCTCTTTTAAATGTCAGCACATAGACTTAAAGAAATTGAGAGATTGCCTTAGGCCCATTGCTCTGTAGTACTAACACTCTAGCTGAAATGTCATTACAAGTGATTTTTCAAATGTTGAAACCAAATGTGTAGCATTGTACAGTACAGCCTCTTCAGCAGCCTGCATCAAGCAAGATAAAAGACATGGTAAGTAGGATACATATTGTGTCCGGGGAACTGAAATTTTACAAAAGCCCTAAAAGAGTATACTTTTCTCTCATTTTTGAGGATTAGTAGTCACATCATAATGTGTCTCTTGATTTTTAGAAGGCATAGGAGGAGGGAAGCACACAAAAATAATATGAAAATAGGGAGTGTTTACTCAATTGGGAAAGGAATTGAGGAGGAGACAATTGGAGATGCTTAGCAAAGTCTAGATCCTGAAGTTAGGACCAGATCGTTTGAAAAGACTTCAGTCCTTTTGTGCATGCGCTGTTAATGATTGCCAGTCTTGAAGCATGATGCCACAGAGATTGGAAAGATCCTTGAAAACTGGGGCTGGGGGTTTAGCTCAGCAGCATAAGCACCTGCCTTGCAAGCAGGCAGTCGTGAGTTCGATCCCCAGTACCAATAAAAATGAAAAAAAAAAACCGATCCTTGAAAACTTAACTGTTTCACTCTCTACATACTCAGTAATTTCCTTTCTAGAATTATGTTTGAAGAATTATATTTTTTTCTTAAGCTTTTGCTGCATTCTAATAATCTTCCTTTTTTCTCCCTTTACCAGAGGAAGAAGAAGAACAGGTACCCACTGATGGGGGTACATCGGCAGAAGCCATGCAGGTTCCCCTGGAAGAAGATGATGAATTGGAGGAGGAGGAAATTATTAATGATGAGAATTTCTTGGGTAAGAGACCATTGGACAGTCCTGAAGCTGAAGAGATGCCTGCCATGAAGCGACCGCGACTATTAAGCACTAAAGGAGACAACCTAGACATAGTATTATTGGAAGCTCGAGAACCACTCAGCTCAATAAATATGCAGAAGATTCCACCCATGCTTTCTCCAGTCCATGTACAGGACAGCGCTGACGTAGCACCTCCGTCACCTGAGCCCCCAATGTTGGCTCCAGTAGCAAAATCACAAATTCCAACTGCAAAACCATTAGAGACAAAGGCATTCACACCTAAAACAAAGACCAAAACTACTTCTCCAGGACAGAAAACTAAATCACCTAAAACTACCCCATCACCAGCAATAGTTGGAAGTCCTATTCGGTCACCAAAAACTGTATCCAAAGAAAAGAAATCACCTGGACGTTCCAAGAGCCCCAAAAGTCCCAAGAGCCCCAAGACTACGACTCATATTCCCCAACTACCTGTCAGACCCGAAACACCAAATAGGACTCCTTCAGCTACAATAAATGAAAAAATTAATAAAGAGACTGTCCCAGTGAAACAAACACAGACTCCTCTTGATGCTGGGAAACTGAATAATGAGACTCAGCCAAAAAAGGCTGTTGTAACTGATAAAACAATTGATGACTCTATTAATGCTGTGATTGCACGAGCCTGTGCTGAGAGGGAGCCAGATCCTTTTGAGTTTTCTTCGGGGTCAGAGTCTGAAGGAGACATTTTTACCAGCCCTAAGAGAATTTCAGGTTCGGAGTGTACCACTCCAAAAGCTTCCACTTCCTCAAACAATTTCACAAAGTCAGGGTCCACTCCTCTGCCTCTTTCAGGTGGAACTCCAAGTTCTGATAACTCATGGACAATGGATGCCTCAATAGATGAGGTTGTTCGGAAGGCAAAACTGGCCACACCTTCCAGTGTGCCTGCCAACTTCCCTTACATCTCTTCCCCATCAGTTTCTCCTCCCACTCCCGAGCCTCTCCACAAAGTATATGAGGAGAAGACCAAGCTGCCTTCCTCTGTGGAGGTAAAGAAGAAGTTGAAAAAAGAGCTAAAGACTAAATTGAAAAAGAAAGAAAAGCAGAGAGATAAGGAGAGGGAAAAAGACAAAAGCAAAGAAAAAAACAAAGAGAAGGATAAAGTGAAAGAGAAAGAAAAGGAAGCTGGCAAGGAAACGAAATACCCATGGAAGGAATTCCTTAAAGATGAAGATTCGGATCCCTATAAGTTTAAAATAAAAGAATTTGAAGATGTTGATCCAAAAGTGAGATTGAAAGATGGAATTGTGAGGAAGGAGAAGGAGAAGCATAAAGATAAGAAGAAAGATAGGGAAAAGGGCAAAAAAGATAAAGAGAAAAGAGAAAAAGAAAGAGCTAAAGAGAAAGGGCGAGAAGATAAAATGAAGACGCTACCAGCGCCGCTGGTGTTGCCCCCAAAGGACGCGGCTCTGCCCCTTTTCAGCCCTGCTGCCGCCGTGCGGGTCCCCTCCCTGCTGCCTGTCCCGTCCCCTGTGCTCCCGGAAAAGCTGTTTGAAGAGAAAGAGAAGCCGAAGGAGAAAGAAAGGAAAAAAGACAAAAAGGAGAAGAAAAAAAAGAAAGAGAAAGAAAAAGAAAAGGAGAAGAAAGAGAAGGAAAGAGAGAAAGAAAAGAAGGAGAAAGAGAAGAGAGAAAAAGAAAAGGAGAAACACAAGCATGAAAAAGTAAGCAGTTTATCATTTTCGACACTAGCTGAGCGAAGTTCTAGTGAAAAATACAGGTAAACAAGGCCAGCAATTATATCTGTATTCTGGATATAAATCACCTCAGAAACACATTTGTAAAAAGGTTGCAAAATTCATTGTAAGCAGGAGGATTGCTGTGAGTCCAAGGCCAGCCTGGGCTACAAAGTGAGTGCAAGGCCAGCCTAATCCATATAGTGAAACCCTGCCTCAACAAAGACCAAAAAATTTTTTATTTTAATTCTAAAACCCATAGACTTGTAATTAAGCCCATATGCACTGAAAGTTATTAAAAATGTGTAGTTTGAGAGGAATCTAATCATACACTATAAACTATTAACTCTGTTAAGTCTCTGAAAGTTTTTAAAATCTGTAATCTTAATCTCTGAATGATATTTTTGTTAACTCTGAAGTCTACATACTAAATATTTTATATGAGATATATTATTTTATTTAAATATTTTATTAAATATTTTATATGAGATTATTAGATACGAGAAAAGTATCCGTTTTTTAAGCTCATGAAACTGTACTCCTCTTTTGAGAGAATAGCAAAGCTGGCAGGCACAAGGTCCTGAGTTCAATTTCTGATACCAAAAAAGATGAAGAAAAATAGCGAGGTCCAGGAAAGGACTAGTAAGTCAGCGTTCTGGAGAACTATGCTGTGATTTATCTAGAGTTACGAGGCTACCTGCTGTACATGCTGTATTCCTATTATTTTTTGCTTTAACTTACTTTGGAGTATCTACTAGCCCAAGCATCAGGGCTGACATAGCAGTCTTTTTAGTGAGCAAAAGCAATTCCATGTAGTAGAGATGTTTTACCATATCCGTAAAACATACTTCCATTGGGTCCTGGAGAAACTGATCAAATTCTGTGATTTCCGTAGGAACCAAGACTCAGATCCTGTGGGCATAGTATGTAGCTTCTGCTCTTATAACTTTCCTCTTCCTCCATTACTTAAGATTGTTATGGCAATTGGTTGATTAATTTAAAAATTTCTTTTAAACTTTCTGAAGAATTGACTCAATATTCATGTGCCATCTCTAGTGCTCCTCAGAGATTCTTTCCCTAGCCTTGAGAAACAGTCCTCTTTGTTTAAGCTTCGCAACTAAGATAATCCACTGTAATTTTTTTTCCCATACTAAATATGGTGTGGTGGACCTACAGCAGTTTTATTAGCAGTAGTTTTACAATATTTTTTACTTTCAGACTTACCTAGAAAAATTAGTTTGGGTGACAACAGTGATGGTACTGCTCATATTTTTCTGCCTAACTTTATTCTTTGTCTTCCTTGGCTTTTCTGAATTATAAAGAAGTTGAATGGAAATTTTGATGTCAAATAATTGAATATACACAAGTTAAGACACAGAAACCCAATTTTTATTTCTATCTAAAAAATCATTTTCATTATCTTGTTATGTTATTTTTTTGCACATCTCCTCAGGTTTTAAAGCACTCTCATATACTTTATTTTCTTCTCCTAACCTATGTATGACGTAGATCAGTATTTATGAGTGAAAAACTGGCCCTAGGAGTCACTTGTCCAAGATCATGGTCACACCTAGCAAGGGCCAGTCACTTACACCACAGACACGCTTCACATTTTGAAATGTTTATTGTTACAGATGTTGTTAGATGATGAGTCATGTGTCTATCACATACCTAGTAACCTGGCAGCTGAATGCTCAGTAAATCCAAAATGGGGCTGTTGCTTTCATCACCATCTTAGCTTTGGAAAGTCAATCATGTTGTTTCAACAGCCATTATGAATGTGAGTGAAGCCCATCAGATTAGGTTTGTAATAGCAAGCAGTCCATGGCTTTGAGAAGGAAAGGTCTGTCCAGTTGCCTTGTGGGAAGCTTAAAAGCACAGATTCCACCTGGCAGAGGATACAAGACCCGGCCTTAGTCTTGATGCGTTATGAGTGACAAAATATGACAAAAGATAAAAGTTTAACTATGTTGTCACATGTTATAAGACTAACATACTGTCTTTAGAGTTAGAGGTGAATTCAAGTCCTAGCTTTTGTGAAACTGGGCCTGTTGCTTATAGGAGGATCAAGGGTGATAGCATACCAGGCATGCACATAATCAGACACCTTCTCATTGTGGCATTGATTGTGGTTTATCATTCCATTTTGAATCAACCAATAAAATTGTAGAAGATAAGAGTTTGCCACTTCTTAGGACCATAGTAGCCAATCTGTTAGTATCAGTGAAACAGCTATGATTACACTCTTTTTAAAAAATTTGTTTTCTTAGTATTAGTTTAAAAGTTTACTCCTTTATACAGAGAAGGAAGAATAAAGAGCAATGCCACTGATAGGGAATAGAGTATCAGTGTATACATTAGACTTCCCTGCAGCCCCCCTAGACTCCTCCCAAATATCAAACAAAATGAATTATTGTAAATATGCCTGAATTGTGGTGTATTTGGGTATACTTACCTGTGACCAGTGAATTTTCTTATATATGCACAACAAAAGCAATAAAATTAAATTGAAAAATCTCCCCACGTTTATTTTATACTACACACTGGTCCCTTAGTACCAGGGACGAGTGAAGAGTTTGACTGGTGTATGAAGAGAGTTTTGGGCTTTGGAATGCAACATACTTAGGGTAATCCTGCAAAGCTCTTTTAGATTATTTAACCCTTAAATATATAATTTTCAGAGATATTCGTGGCAAAGTAGTAATATTTCAGTTAACACTGATGTATAAGTCCTTCCTGCGGTGGACACTATAATGATTGTCACTTTAAGATGAGTATTTGAGGCTTAAAAGGGGGAAATAAGATAACATACATAGTAAGTAATTGAACAGGAGTTACAATTTCAGTCCAGGCCAGCAAGATGCTATAATTGATATGTCTGTGCTTCCCTACATTTTTAAAAATGGGAGCTGGGCGTGGTGGCACACACCTACAATCCCAGCACTGGGGAGCTGAGGCAGAAGGACAGATTCGAGTGCTAAGTCAGCCCGTCCAAGGCTAGCCTGAAATAAGGGAGGCTCTACCTCAAAAGGGAAGTGGAGGGGACGGGTATAAGTGAGCCAGGCAGAGTGGTGCACGCTTGTAGTCCCAGCACTTGAGAGGCTGAGACAGAAGTATTGTGAATTTGAAGCCAGCCTTGACTTCACAGTGAGTTCAAGGCCAACCTGAGACCCTGTCTCTGAAAACAAACAAGACAAGATGTAAGTGAAATGGTGAGTACACACTTTTAATTTCCCTTTGTGAGGAGCACTAAGCATTAGTCAGTGTTAATCTGATCTATCATTTACTTCAGTGGCACCAAACTAGCTTTTAAAGAAACTCATGTTAAGAGCAATTAAATATAAACACACCGTAACAACTTTAGCACTGATGAACCTGATGGTACATTTCAAAGCAGTTTAAAATTTTCCTTAAAATTTCTTTTTCTGTGCATGTCAGTGTATATATTGCATAATAGCTTATTTCAAAATGTGGATCTTTTGAGTTCAGATGAATGCACAGGATTATTTTAATTAAAAATTATTTAGTATTTTAAGTGCATTTTGGATAGAGAATCATGAAAAAATAAATAAGAAAACATTTTATTATTTACATTATTGGGATTGGACATTTGTACCTGTAGTCTGCTGCTGGTCATGTTTGAGGTTTTCCGTGGTGCTAGGAATGGAGTCCTAGGCCACTTCACATGCTATGCAAGCATTCTGCCATACAGCTATATCCTCAACTGTGTCTGTAATCTTAAATAAAAAATAAGCTACAACCCATGTGTCAAACAGGGGAATATAGTTTGTTTTTGTGGTGCCAAACAGCAAACATAAGAGGCTCACATGTGCTAGGCTGGCACTCCACTACCACTGAGCTACATCCCTGCCATTTTTGTTTTTTATTTTTAGACAAGATCTAAGTTCCTAGACAGCCTCAAACTTGTGATCCTCCTGCGTCAGCCTCCCCAGTAGCTGACAGGATTATGTTTTTATATGTGAATACATTTCTTATTTGAAAGTGATCTGAGTGGCACAGTAACATTTCATCCCCAAATCAAGCCATTACCATCTGCAGATAGATAGACCCACCAGTGTCCCACAGTAGGCACAAGCTTTAGCATTCATACTGATAGAGGTAGAAATTCCAGCCCTAACACTTGAGAACTATTCATGAAAGCTCAGCTTTACAGACTTGTGCTTCCTTGCCTCCACTTCTGCATCTTGTTCTGTACTAGCATCATTATAAAGTGTACTTTACCTTTTTTATGATAGTTTCATATGTTCTCCGGTGTGTTGGCATAGAAGGCCTTCTCTTCTGCCTTCTCATAGCAAACACTAATGAGACTAGGTTGTGCATTTAAGATAAGTAACTGAATTCAAAATTTGTTTACAAATACATAATGTTGATAATCATGTATAATTAAAAGTTATTTATAATGGAAAGTCCATAATACTTTACAAGGGATTCCCAAAATTGTATACTACTGATTCCTCTTAGTGAGTTCTTTCACTCAAGCCGATATAGGCTATTGAATGAACTCACCTAGATGGTAAATTATTTTACCCACTATCATTTACTGAGTGCATTCAAGTGCCAGGTCTGGCCAGACCCTATTATTTAATTCTCCAAGCAGCTCTGGGGACCTGGTATTGCCATTCCTATTTTACAACTGAAAAAATTGAACGGAAAGGTTGAGTGACTTCCAATGGCTGTGAGTGGAAGAGCTATGACTTGGCCAGGTCTGTCTGACCAAAGCCTGGTTCTTTACCACCTGAAGCAGGCTTCCCAGGCCAGTCACTGTCTGTTCCGCGTATCTAAGCACAGCATGCTAGTGAGTAGGGTAAGGAGTTGAAATTCAGGACTAAGGTGTCAGCACAGCTTTATAAAATTTTAGTATTTGAAGAAACCTTAGTGTCCCTGTTTAGTTGCCATGTTTTGAAGAACAAGAAAGGTATGTCCTCAAAGCCTTAATGATATTAGTCATCTGAACAATTAAAAATTTT